CACACACCACACACACACCACACACACACCACACCACACACACACACACTACACACACATATACACCATACACACACACCACACACACACCACACACTCACACACACATACACATCATACACACACACAACACACATACACACCGTACACACTCACACACATACACACACACACACACACACACACACACACACGAATTCAACTCAGCCTGCTAACCTTAAAGCCCCTCCCTCACATAAACCCATTAAAGACTAGACTAGTGTCTTCAAAGACAAAATACTCTCTGGGAACTTTGGGCACACTGTTCTCTGTACTTCACCCAAACAGTGCTATATGCAACTGATCTAGACAGACTTAGTAGACTCAAACCCAGACCGAATGGAAAACCCAGCATGAGTCAGAGCCCCTTCTGAGAGCATCCTGGCCATTTCCCCTGCTGTGGAGGGCAGTAGAGCACAGTGAATTCACTATACACACAAGCCAATCAGGGCTTCTCCTCTGCATGGGAAGGCTATTCATTCATTCTCAAGGGCTCCCTTCCTGGAGAGGTAACTCCCCACGGGGAGTGGGGGTGTTGGGGGAGGGGCTTACTAGGTCCAAAGACTTAGTCCTGCTTCTGAGGAGTCAGGCTGCTGATCCCAGCTTCTAGCTTCCCTCAGCTCTGGGGAAGTGGGAACAGAGACCAGGAAGTCCACCCCTCAGGTATGCTATTATCAAGAATCAGCCACTTCAAAGTGGGACACCTCTGGTTTCTAGCTTCGAGCCTGGTTTCACTTTCTGTTGATTGGTACTTCTCTCTAGGGCCACAAGGTGCCCCGGGTGACATGCGCAGTCTCACACTGTGCTCCTCCCCACATTCACCCTGCAGGCCCAGTCCCTAGGCTGGCCCTGCCCAGACACCACCAGCACCTGCGTTTCTCCTTCGAGGTGGTGACTGTGCATTTCTGACAGAAAGCTTCCTTAGGGCTATCCAGGCCCCATAGAAGTAATAACTAATGTCCTTGCTGTGTTTTATACAAAAGAAAGAACCCAGATATGTTTGGTAGACTGAGCTGTGGTGAGATGGGAGAGGTGGCTCTGCAGGCCCAGGCTGAGGCATCCATTCCCCCTGAGGTATCAGTCAAAAGACAGACACAGTACAGAATAGAGTCTATTTAGAGCATGGGAAGTAGAGACAGAGAAAAGCAGAGAGTGTGTGTGTGTGTGTGTGTGGGGAAGATAGTAGGAGAGAGAAGAGAGGAGAGGGGAGAGAGGGAGACAGAGAAAGACAGAGGCAGAGAGAGGAGAGGGGAGGTGGAAGAGAGAGAGAGAGAGAGAGAGAGAGAGAGAGAGAGAGACCTGCTAGGAATGCGTGGAGAGAGGGAGGAGGGAAAGAGGGGGAGAAGGGGCAGAGTAAGAGGATAAGAGAGAGAAGGGACAAGCAGCCCCTTTTGTAGTGAGCCAGGCATGCCTGGCTGATGCCAGGTAACTGTGGGGCAGAGCCTGGAAGGAATGCTAACATCCTTAAAGTGGAAAGTCCTGATTTCCGATTGTCCTGGGAATGCCCCCCACCCCTTCCTTTGTGTATTTGTCCATCTCTTCTCCAGCAGCCTTCAAATGTTGCTTTCTAGTGGACATCAGCAAACTCCCCACCTTCGTCAAGCCAAGGACCTACTCAACCTAAATGCCTCAAAGCCAAGGTGCTCACAGGCCTTAGAGCCACACACAGAAAATAGGCACAGATGATAAAGCTATATGTAGAATATAAAATATTCACTGTGCTCACAGTGATCAAAAAAATCCCGAGTGATGTCCAACACTGTTTCTGCTGACTGGACATGTGGGGGTCCTCATGGACACAGGAAACAGGAGGCTGACAGATTATAAGGAAGATGGTTATCTGTTGAGCAGCACCCCTACTCCGAAAATCCAAAATGTCTCAAAATCGAAAATCTTCTGAGCATTGCATGCCCCAAATTAGAATATTTCCTACTTTAGATTTTCACATTAGGGATATTTAGCCAGTAAACTATGAAAATAGTGTTTTTAAATACACTTCCTGACCCCTGAGATCAGAAACAAGATATGCTTTTTGTTCCAAGCCTTTCGATCGATAAGGGGGACTCGGTCTATTCCAGTGGAAGCTCTGGGTGTTGGGTGTAGGAGAGGGTGGGTGATGTGTTTTATAAAACCAATGATATGTTTTGAAGAGCGTGGTATGGTGCTGTGGAGGGGGTACCTCAGCGGGCCCTTGCTGAGGCATCCCTCTCCCTTAAGTAGAACAGAGTTTATTTGGGGGCATGGGAAGGGGAGTTGAGAAGGGAGTAAAGGCAGAGAAAGGGGTGGTGGTGGAGAGGCTGGCTGGAAACACAGAGAAGGGGGAAGGGGAAGGTGAGAGAGAAAGAGAAAGGGGTCAGAAAAAGAAAAGGGTCAGAGTGAGAAGAGAGGCCAAACAATCCCTTTCATAACAAGCCAGGCCTACCTGGCTGTTGCTAGGTAACTGTTGGGTGGAGCCTAGGAAGAACAACGTTGGTTTGAGAAGTGGGGTGTGGGTAGCCTGTTCCAGACAGCCCAGTCGCAGGCAGGACTGTGGGAGTGAGGGTGAAACTGTGGACTGCAGGAAGCAAGCTCTCAGAGGAAGCTGGAAAGGGTCTCCCTCAGCATCAAGGCCAGATCTGGTCCTGAAATGTAAACAGAATCTTTTGATCTGTTTCTAAGCAATGGAGATCAAGAAAGAGAAGTTACAAATTCCTCAACTAGATAAAGTCAGGTCTCTTTAGGCAAATCATTGACCAAGTCATATGATCCTGCTACCTTTGCTGTCTACAATCTGTGCTCAGGACAGTGTCATAGTGCACTCTTATCAGCTCTCTGTTGGCCATGTAAGGCTTGGTGTAACTGGGAGGGGGTTCTCATCACACCTTAGTCAATTTGATCAGAAATGAAAAGTCACACTCCTTTTGAAAGCACAAGCTTGCAGTAGCCATGGTTTGTTTTGATGTTTTCCTTTAGAACATGGCCCTATCCTGTACAGCATGGGCACTTCTGTACTTAGTGTGTCTACTCTGGGGAGCACTCCACACTCCTCCACACTCCTCCACAGTGCTTCTGTGTGGGGGTTTAGGGTGGAGTGCAGGCATGCCGCAGCATGTGTAGGGAGGTTAGAAGACAGGTTACAGGAGTCAGTTCTCTTCTTCTACCATGTGGGCTCCAGGGTTTGAACTCAGGTCCTTAGGCTTGGCAGCAAGCGCCTTCACCCGCTGAGCCATCTGGTCAACAATTTAGTCCAAGTCTTTTTTCATAAGTCTAACATATTAAAATAGTCATGGTAAGTAAGACTTAATATGATAGTGTTCAGAAGAACCTCCAACACCTGTGTCCCTGAGTGAACAGGAAGTGAAGTTTCCTGGGACCCAGAGTGGACACGCAGCTCAAGAGAAGGTTACTGTCCCTGGGGTAGTAGATCTTTGAGCGTGATCTTGGCCTCCTTGATTTTTATTTGAAGACAAGTGTCTGAACTGAACATGTCACTCCTTGTGATTAAGATCATTAACAAGGGGAGCTGGAGAGATGGCTCAGAGGTTAAGAGCACCGACTGTTCTTCCAGAGGTCCCGAGTTCAATTCCCAGCAACCACACGGTGGCTCACAACCATCTGTAATGGGATCTGATGTCCTCTTCTGGTGTGTCTGAAGATGGCAACATAAAATAAATATTTTTTTAGAAAAGAAGATTGTCAACAAGAGGTTGGAAATCAACCAAACTCTGTAGATCAGCTAGCAGCAATATTTAGGCATATGAAGATTGTACAATGCTGTAAAATTGTCAGAAGTATAATAACATGGAGCGCTGCTTCCTCAATACTCCCTGTGGTTTTCTGGGGTCATCAGATTGCCATCTCTCCAGTACAGAATGCCCTTTACTAGTTAGTCAGCTTCTTTAGTGGCCCTTCCCCCTCTGAAGCTGTTCCAGATCTACCACTTCATCCAGTGGCTGCGATCCTAAAATCTGGGGCTGGAGAGAGGGTGGCTCAGTAGTTAAGAACATGTACTGGCATGGCACCAGTACTCTCGTCTTGCCTAGACGACAAAAACGGTCCATATTCTGGACTGCTACTCCTTTATCAATGTGGCTCCGGCCTACATCTGACCTTGACCTCTAGATAAAAGTAAGAGGCGTAATTGCAGGATTGTCCCCACTTCCTGACCTAACCACTCCAGTCTTCCTTTTTTGGACAGGTCCTGAAATCACAGAACTTTTGTTTCTCGTCTGTTTGCTTCTCTTCCTCAGGAAGTAATACTCTATCCGCTGCAGGTGTGTTCCAGCTGTGGGTGTTGGCGGTCATTAGAGGCATTCCCCCTGTCTAGAGGGTTGCTGTGGTTATGTGAGACTTGTCTTCTTGACAGAGAAAGAAGCGACATTCAGAGAGATTTAACAATCCCCTCCCGCAGCGAGGCGGGGTTCGGAAGGGGGGGTGGCTCGAGAGATGGCTCACTGATGGAGAATTACTGCTCTGGATTCCATTTCTATGCCCTCAGAGCAGCTCACAACTGCCTGCAACACCAATTGCAGGGGAATCTACCACCATTTCTGACCTCTGCACGGGGTGGACATACACATAAAATTAATGATTACATAAAGTGTAATAAATATTTCTTTTACAATTTTCCTTCCTCTCGTTCCTCTAATCAACTTCCTGTTCTCTCTTGCATTACTTTGACAGACGCTTGCTGGGTCCACTGGAATGCTATGGGGAACTGCAACCCTAGCGTGTGAGGTTTCCAACCACTTTTTGGTTTTTAATTATTATTATTATTATTATTATTATTATTATTATTATGTGCTTTGGTCAGGGGTCTTGTTATGTAGTTCGACTAGTCCCGAACTCTCGATCTAGATACCAGGGAGATCCGCCTATGCCTCCGCGACGCTTCAGTGAAACCCAATAATCCTATCCAGCTGAACCTTGGCGGAGCTGCCGGGATCACCCAACTTGCCCGGCCACTAGGGGAGATTCAACCTTCGGGGGCGGGTGCAAGAGAATGACTCTGCGCTAGACCAATCCCTGCGGGGGCGCCGGCCTCCAGACCCAATCACAAGCGAGCTAGGGAGGCGGGTGACAGCTCCGGCCGAAGATTACCAGCTCCAAGCTGAGTGATGATGCTCCGCGGCCAAGTCACTGCTAGGGCCCAAAGAACGAGAGTGCGGCGGCGCGGGGAGTGGCGGGGACTGAGTCCAGGGCCACTAGAGACCGAGAGGTGCGCTTATCTCTCTTTGCCTTCTAACAGGGCTCGAGTGCCCCGTCCCAAGGGACGTCCCCCTCTTGCTGTTCAGCTCCACCTCACTGTTCCTTCCTTCGGCTGTCCCCAGCTGGAGGGCCGTGCTGAAAAGCTGGGGGCGCTGCGCCCCGCACTGGGTAACCGAGAACACAGTCCTGAACAGGGTCCCACCTGTGCCTAGCCTAGCAGGAAGACTATAACCGAGGGGTGAGTTTTAAAAACGAAAACAGAAACTCCCCTTCCGATCGGGAGCTGCTTTTTTACGAGGCCCTTAACCTGCAGCCAAAATAAAAACAATTGCGTAACCTCTGGGTCCCCGGCGAACTTCATTGTTTACCTTAAGGGAACCAGCCGGTGCTATTCGGCTCCGCACTGTGAGCATTTACTAAGTGGAGTCGGGGGCTGGGGGACGAGGGTGGGGGGCGGCACTTTGTCCTGAGAGGCCCCGCTCCTCGGAGAGGAATGGAGTACCCTCCCCGGGCAAGGGCACTCTCTCAGAAATCTGGAACTCTTTTTGCTTGCTCATGTTTGTTTATGACACATTGTTCCAACTTCCCCACTTTTGAGAATTTAGCCTCTGGGATAAGAAATCAACTGATGATTTCTATCTCCTGTTTCTCTCCCCCGCCCCCCAATAGACTTGACCTGCCCACTTGAGCAATATGAAGATTACATTCATAGAGCCCGCCATTCTCCTTAGCGCGTTTGCTATGACTCTGACCATGCCGCTGACAGCCCAGTACATGTACCGGAGGATATGGGAAGAAACCGGTAACTACACCTTTGCTTCCAATAGCAATGCCTCTGAATGTGAGCAAAACAAAAGCAGCTCCATCTTTGCATTCCGGGAGGTAAGAAATTAAAACCTCCCATCCTGTAGTCCACAGGGAATGGAAACAAGTTCCAAACCAAAGAGGCTATCCAGGGCGTAACCACCCCCTCCCCCGCCCCCCCCCCAAAAAAATCAAATCAAGCAACCTTCTCTTTGTTCCCATTTCGGTTAATAGTTCCTCTTAACACCTTTAATCTGGCTCGCTCTAACTCTCTAATGCACCCCCACCCCTGTCCCTACCACACCTCCCCCTTGTGGGACCAGATCTTTTATCTTTAGGAAATCTCACTACAATCTCACCCACTCTCAGTTGGTCTTTTGAAAACAAAAGTCTGAAAAACTGGACCAGGGTCAGCTGTTGCCGTGGGGTGGGGCAGCATTGTTGAGGTCAGGAGGCTTCATTGGATAAGATGAGCTGGGGTCCCTGGAGTTGAGTCCTATGTCCACATCTGGACTGGCGCGTGCTTGCTTTAGCTCTCAGCATCCTAAAACGGTTTAGCTATATATTGTGGGGCCTCCCTCTGTCCTGTGTGTATCTGATAAGAGCTTTGTCATCATTCTCCTGAGCCCTGAGGCAGAATTTGTCAAAAGTCTATCAGGGTACAGGAGATGGCATCAGCTGTTTCTCTACAGGGCTGCTGCGTTTGCAAGCTCAGAACTGCTCTCATTAGGGATATTCTGTGGCAACAAAAAATTGACGCTGCCTTCCCTCGCACAGATGAGAGGAGGCTGTGCAGCTGCCTTCCCTGATCTGAGAGTCTCTCTGTACCAGCAAATGAGCCTGGAGTGAGGACCTGGCAGAGAGCCCCCATGGGAAGGCCTGAGGCCTCCACAGCAGCCCTAAGGTAGCAGGTAGAAGCTGGATGGGGCGAAGTCCAACTGCATGGCCAAGGCCTGTCTTCACTCATGTCCTCCTGCTGAGGAGAATTTTCTTGGAATAGAGCATTTCTAACCAGCTGTGGGGACAGCACAGCCATAAAGAGAAGGATAAGGGCCTCACCAGTGGTTCACTGTCCTCTGTAATGTCTGCTCAGTCCTGTAATACAGCACTCGGGGAGGCTGGAGGAAAAGGGTTATGATTTCAAGGCCAACCTGGTCTACCCTGTCTCAAGGTAATAACAACAATAAAGGGGAAGAAGGATGGATAGACGGACTGACAGACAGAGAGACAGATCGATAGATAGATAGATAGATAGATAGATAGATAGATAGATAGATGTAGGTAGGTAGACAGACAGATGGACACATGGACAGAAGAAGCTAAGTACAAGATTGCATGACTGTGATGTCCAAGGGCCTAGGTTGGATTCCTCAGATCTTATGTATATATTTCAAGATCTGTCTTTTCTAGGACTGAGGTCTCAGGGGCTCATCATTTCTGAGATGGAGTCAGGGATTGTTTTCAACCCTCCTCAGGTGACAGGGGCAAGCCCCCTGCTGCAGTATGTGGGGAGCCTAGGAGGAAAGTACCTGTTGTGTTCTACACTGAAGGAAGGCCCTAGTTGTTGACCAACACCACAGACACACCCACATACACACACACACTCCAACTGCATAGAGCAGTATGATCTCATTTTGCTTTTAGACAAACTTCCAATCAATCTGATGTTTCTTTTTCTTTTTTTTTTTTTTTTTATAATTTTGTGGTGTTTTGTTTTGTTTTTTTCAAGACAGGGTTTCTCTGTGTAGCTCTGGTTGTCCTGGAACTCACTCTGTAGACCAGGCTGGCTTCAAACTCACAGAGATCCACTTGCTTCTGTCTCCCGAGTGCTGGAGTTAAAAGTATGAGCCACCACAGCCCCGCCAAGAGACTACTCATATTCCAGGTCTTGTTCCCCAAAGTTGGTACCCTCAGATCTCTGGTGCTTTCCCTAAGAGTGGGGAAGTAGAAACCACTGCCCCACCCCACCCCCCATTCCCCTGTCCAGCCCTACCCTGCTGCCTATGGCTGGGACAGGACAGGACAAGAAAGAGCCTGACAGGTTCATTTTTGCCTGTATCACTTCCTTCTGGGCTCTTTCAAGATGCTGTCCTTGTATGGCTTCTCAGAAAACACCCTCCTCCATCCGAATCTGAAAGCCTGCCCTCCCGCTCAGAGCTTCCTTTTCTAGCAACTGGCTCTGTTGTGTGATCTTGGCCCCTCAGTTTCCAAATATAGGGCTAGGAGTTTGTATACTGGTCACCTTAAAAAATAAGGAGCCAGCCCTGGGAGAGTACTAGAAAAACAAGATTCCTTTCTTACTACCTCACCCCAAGTGCCATTGTGTATAGAAGGACCTTGTGCATTATGACAGGGAACCCTATCCTGATTGGCCATATTTGTCTGTCTTTCTCGTCCAAGTCTGCATCTTGGTTGCTGTGATAAAACACTGACCAAAAACAACTTGGAAGGGGAGAGGGTTTATTTGGCTTACAGGTTAGACCCCCCCATCATGAAGGGAAAGTAAGGCAGGAACCTGAAGCAGAGACCACAGGAGAGCACTGCTTAATGGCGTGCTCCCCATAGCTTGCTCAGCTACCTTTCGTATGCAGTCAGGACGAGCTGTTCAGGAATGGTACCACCCACAGTGGGCTGGGCCCTCTTTCACCAATCAATAATCAAGAAAAATGCCCACAGACACGGCACAGGCCAGTCTGCTGGAGGCAATTCCTCCTTTGAGGTTCCCTCCTCCAACGGTGTGTCAAGTTGACAACTAAAGCCGACGATGACACATCCCAATAACACACACACCCATGGGCACCTATGCACTAGCATGTAATGTTTCAGGGTGTGGAAAGAAGAATAATCTTTTTTTAAATATTATTTATTTATTATTATTTATATGAGTACACTGTAACTCTCTTCAGACACGCCAGAAGAGTGCATCAGATCCCATTACAGTTGGTTGTGGGCCACCATGTGGTTGCTGGGAATTGAACTCAGGACCTCTGGAAGAGCAGCCAATGCTCTTAACTGCTGAGCCATCTCTCCAGCCCAAGAAGAATAATCTTAACTAAACTTGAAATGGTGGTGCATTGCCTGTAATTCTAGCACCCAGGAGGTAGAGGCCGGAAGATCATGAGTTCAAAGCCAACCTGGGAAACTTAGTAAGACACCCTCAAAAATCCAAGAGGTGAGGATATAGCTTAATGACAGAGGGCTTACTTGGCATGCACCAAGTCTTGGGTTCAATCTTTGTCATCACCAAAAATGTCATGATAAAACTTACCGTACTGAACATCTGTAATCCCAGCACTAGAGAGAGAGAAGCAGAGGGTTACAAGGTCAAGACCAACTCAGGCTACATGAGGAGACCTGCTCTCAAAACTGAAAATAATTAAAGAATAAGCTGAGCTCTCGCACCTATATTTGATATTTGAGAGTCTGTATTTTAAGGGGAAGTCTTATTTTCTAACCCTTTTTATTAACACAGACATATATACATACATATGTGTGTGTGTGTGTGTGTGTAAGTGTGTGTACATCTTAGTATTCTATTGTGTGTGTAAGTGTGTGTACATCTTAGTATTCTATTGCTGTGAAGAGACACCATGACCATGGCAACTCTTATAAAGGAAAACATTTAATTGGGGCTGGCTTATAGTTCAGAGATTTAGTCCATTATTGTCACGGAGGGAAGCATGGTGGCACACAGGCAGACATGGTGCTGGAGGAGCTGAGAGCTCTATATCTGGATCCACAGGCAGCAGGAAGAGGTAGCCACTAGGCCAAGCTTGAGCTTCTGAAACCTAGAAGCCCATCCTCATCGACACACATCCTCCAACGAGGTCACCCGTACTAACAAGTGTCTATGGGGGCCATTTGTACTCAAATCACCACAATATATATGCACATACACACACACACACACTTACAATTTTGCTGAGATTGGAGGATTACAAACTAGTGACTAGCCTGGTGAGAACTTGCCTCAAAAGAAAACTTTATTTTTGCCTTAATCTGTTTTTTCAATGTTCCAAGTTCTTGGAGCCTTGTGACCAGAAGTCTCTCTCATCTCCATGCTTTCCCAGGCAATAGGTTTAATCTCCATGGGGCCGTTACACCATAGTTGGTGCTTTTGGCTAGGAAGTAAAGAAGTGGGTTCTTGCCACGCTTGTTGACTTTTGTAGAGGAAGGAATTTTCTAACCACTTGATACACCCTTTCCTTGTTAAATAATTACTTCTCAAGTAGTAAATTAATAGCAGGTGTCTGATAACAGAGACTTGTTTTTCTCGGGCAACTTTTTTAAAAGGTATTTTTATTTTAAGTGTATGGATGTTTTGCCTGCGTGTGTGTCTGGTGTACAGTGCACTCAGAGGGCAGAAGAAGGCATCAAATCCCCTGAGACTGGTGTTACAGATGGTTGTGAGTCACCATATAAGTGCTGGGAACTGAGCCTGGGTCCTCTGCAAGAGCAGCCAGCGCTCCTAACCCCTGAGCCATCTCTCCAGGCCCATAGTTTGTTTCTTATACCCCCAATTATATAATTCCAGATGGAACTGTTCTCTGAGTTTGTCTTGTTAAAGATCTTGTTTTTTTTTTAAAAAAAAAAAGCAACAATTTTCCCAGACTACAGAGGAAGGCATGGCTGTTCAAGACTGGGTGAGAACTAACTGGAGAAAGCAGAAGACAGACCTGGGTGGACCAGTATAAATGAGAACAGGAACTCTAAGGGGAAGGCCTGCTTGAGAAATTGGTTAAAGGATGACTTTATGTCTATTTACTCAGTAAATACCTGAAGGTTACTGTAAGTACATAAAGATGCACTTATAGAACAGGCAAGATTGAGTACTGAACATGGCCCAGGCCTTGCACTGGGCAATTCAGATGTCTTTCAGTGTTAACCCTCTCAACAAAGTAAGTTTTTATTCCCTCCTGTCAAGAAGAAGCAGTGACAGACACAATCATTTGATAGTATCCTCTACTGCCTGCAAAGTGACAGAGTCCTTATCTCCTTCAGCCATGTGTTCATCCGGCACCCACCAAGAGCCTGCCCTGTGCCCAGAACTGTCCTCGGAGCTAGTGACACTGAGGGTAGGAAGACAAAGATCTGGCTCCCTGTAGGTTAGGTTATAATGGGGCAGGAAAACAATTTTTTATGGCTCATTAATCATCAGGCTGCTTTCTGACAGCATGGGCCTTTTGTTCTTCACACACAGTGTTTCCCATTATAAACATGCCACAGGCCCCATGCATGAATCAGACAAAACTAAGACATGGCAAGCACAATATGCCTTTAACTTTATTTTATTTACTTTTGTGTTGTGAAATGCCATGTGGGTGCTGGGATTTGAACCCGGGTCCTGTGGAAGAGCAGCCAGTGCTCTTAACCACTGAGCCATCTCTCCAACCCCCACAATATGTCTTTATTTTATTTTATTTTATTTTATTTTTTGGTTTTTCGAGACAGGGTTTCTCTTATAGCCTGGGCTGTCCTGGAACTCACTCTGTAGACCAGGCTGGCCTCGAACTCAGAAATCCGCCTGCCTCTGCCTCCCAAGTGCTGGGATTAAAGGCGTGCGCCACCACCGCCCGGCCACAATATGTCTTTAAAAGACTTTTTAAATGATTGTTTTCGTGTGTATTGGTGTCTTGGCTGCATGCATGTATGTGCACTGTGTACCTGCCTAGATGCCTGTGGAGGCAAGAAGATGCTGCTGCTGCTGGATCCCCTAGAAGTGGAGTTATAGAGAGTTAGGTATCACCATGTGGATGATGGGAATCAAACCAGGGTCCTCTGCAAGAACAGCCAGTGCTTCTAACCACTGAGCAATATCTCCAGCCCCACATAATGTCTTTAAATATCCCTAAATTCTTCCCATCAAATGGGAATGTCACAGCTCCCCGAGTGTGTGCCCTTCTGTACACATGGCCTCTTGCCTGTTGTCTTTGTATTCTCGGTCCTTGGCTGCAAGTCTCTTAAGCAATGCAAGACTCTTCTTCTGGGTCTATCTCATTACTTCCATAGTAAATGAAGGAATCTATTCTCACAAGTTCTGTCAGTGAATGCAAAGATTAAAAGGGGGCAGAGGTCTGCTTAGTTAGAGATTACCAAGCAAATATATATGAAGTGTATGTGTTCGCTTCGCTCTTGTGGCCTAGGTAGGAAGACCCATCACCACAGGGGTCATCATCACTCAGGGTGTAGAACAGGAGTCCCAATGGTCTCTCAGAGCAAATGGTTCATGGGGGTGGGGTGGAGTGGAGTGGAGTGAGAGTGGAAGAATACCATTCTGTTGCCAACACCAGAGTCTGTGACACACACGTGTCCTTTGTATAGACAGACACACCAAGGCATACATTTTTCTCTTTGTAGCTTTGAGTCTCTACCCTGCATGGTGTGTGGGTCTCTTGATGAAGCATGGGTGGGTGTGTTACTTTTAATGTGTGCTTTATGAACTGCAGGAAAACTTAATTGGTACTGTCCCCTCACATACCCGCAGCCTCCCACTAATAACCAGAGGCAACACTGCAGTCTTTTTATGGTCACAGAATCTGTCAACCCTTTGTCTTGGTTCTTGCAGGAAGTTCAGAAAAAGGCATCTCTCTTCAGCCTACAGGTAGAAATGAGTGGATTAATTCCCGGTCTGGTGTCTACCTTCATGCTTTTATCGAGTAGTGACAACCACGGACGGAAACTTCCCATGGTCTTGTCATCTCTTGGCTCTCTGGGAACCAGCATTTGGCTGTGCGTGATGTCCTACCTTGACCTTCCTCTCCAGCTTCTGATAGCATCCACCTTTATCGGTGCCCTCTTCGGGAACTACACCACGTTCTGGGGAGCTTGCTTCGCCTACATTGTGGATCAGCAGAAAGAATACAAGCATAGAATCATCCGGATAGCCATCCTGGATCTTATGCTCGGAGTCGTTACTGGGATAACAGGCCTGTCCTCTGGCTATTTTATCCGAGAACTGGGTTTTGTGTGGTCCTATTTCATTATTGCCGTAGTTACTGCAGTCAACCTGACCTACATTTTATTTTTCCTAAGCGATCCCATAAAGGAGTCATCATCTCAGATTATCACTATGTCCTGTAGCGAAAGCCTCAAGGACCTATTTTACCGGACTTACATGCTTTTTAAAAATGGTTCCAGTAAGCGGCGGTCTTTGCTCTGTCTGCTGATTTTTACCCTTGTCATCTATTTCTTTGTGATAATTGGCATCTCCCCGATTTTTACACTTTATGAGCTGGGCCCTCCGCTCTGCTGGAATGAGGTCTATATAGGCTATGGATCAGCACTGGGCAGTGTCTCCTTTTTGAGTAGTTTCCTAGGCATATGGCTATTTTCTTATTGTTTGAAGGATATTTACATTGCGTATATTGGCATTTTTACCACCATGGTGGGGATGTTGCTGGCTGCTTTCGCCAAGACCACTCTGATGATGTTTTTAGGTAAGTTACAAATGTGTCTGATTTTATGGAAAGTGAGTTCAATCTGTTAGGAGGAGGGGTTTACACTCAACACAAAGCTCTCTATGAACCCATCTATTTCAAGTAAACAGCTAGCGTCGCAGAAGTCAACAATCAGAATGCCAGATTTACCAAGATATGACAAATACTCAGAATCAACATGATTTTCCAAATTTGCATTATTTGCCAAAAATATGTTGAGGGACATTTTGTGTGTGTGTGTTTCAGTTCTTGAGTGTAGCTTCCACTGAAATGAGTGTTCCTTTGAATGCTGCACTGGAAAGGGTTGTGGAACTGTAATACAGAATCTTGGTTCAAGTCACTCGTTTCTACCACGAAGGTATTACATCCTTGCCGCTTGCCAGAGAAACAGTTTGGAGGATCAGAATTAGATTTGACTTCCTCCTATATTGCTGGGTGACCTTGGCGTGTTTGTCCCTCTGAGCCCTTCCTCAGGTAGGCACAGGAATGCTCCATTCGGAGGGTTTTATAAAACCCTCCTTTAGCCTTGGAGAACTAGAAAGCACTTAGCACAGTGTCCTTTAGACAGTGGGAGCTATGCCCCTGTTTCACGAAGTGTGCCAAGACCATATTAAATCAACATATGCATGCAAATACTCTGGAAAATGTAAATATGTTATTTTTATATACAAAAGCTAATGCCATTATTTGGCAATGTGACTAAAAATGATTCTATTAAGAAGCGTAGTTTAAAGATGCCTGTGACGGAGCACACCTTTAATCCCAGAATTTGGGAGACAGAAGTAGGGTCTGGGGAGTCCATGTGAGTTTGAGGGCAGTCTGGTCTACCTAGTAAGTTCCAGATTAGCCAGGGCTGTATAGTAAAACCCTCTGTCAAAACAGACAGACAGACAACACACGCACACACATTTTAATATATATAAAATTTAAGAGCAGAGGAAGTTGTGTTTATAATTTCCCACCAAAAAATGAACCAACAAGACAATAAAGAGCCAGCTTACCTATAAAGGAATTTTTAGAGTAAGGGGATAAAATCCCCATGAATGTCAAAATAAAAACATAAAATAAAAATAAAAAACATATAAAAGGAGCTTCAGGGATGGTTCATCAGTTAAGAGCAGGTATTGTCCTTACAGAGGACCTGAGTTCAGTTCCCAGGCTCATGACCACCTGGTCCAGGGGATCTAACACCCTCTTCTGCCCCCATAGGCATATACATATACATGGGACATACACATACATACATACTCACGTTCACATATACATACACAAATGAAAATAATATTTTTAAAATGGCTAGAAGCTAATTAGCAGTCAAAACTTGCTAGATAAGTTATTACATCATTAGAAAAATAGGCAGATGGGTCTCATCTGGACCAAATAGACAGACTTAATACACCTGTACCAAAACATCCATGAATACTACTTGTAGGACCAAAACCAGAATTTTAGAATAAAGCAAGCCTCCGATGACTGGCCTGTTAATCTATTAGGTAAAACTGCAGTTAGCTGGATCTTCAGCTGCAGTGAATCAGGGTGATCATAGGAGGAACTGTCTAGGCAGGAGAGCATCCCGACTCAGCCTGATTTGACTGTATCATTTGTCTCTCTCAGTCAGGATACCGTTCTCTTTCACCATCATGCCACTTTCCGTCCTGAGGTCCATGCTGTCAAAGGTGGTCCACTCCACTGAGCAAGGTGAGTTTACGTTAAAGCCTGTAACAGATGTACCAACTTCAGTCATCACAATCGATGCTTGAAGTGTCTGGGTAGCCTACAACCCTCTTCCTGCCAGGGCCTCCTTTTGAAGGAAGCGCCTAGCTTTGTTAGAAGCTGGCTTATACTCAGGCAGAGAGGCCCTGCTTAAGGACTCTGCTTTAGAAGGCTTCTCTGGCTTTGTCTCAAGCAGAAGAAAAAAGATTTTGGAGTCAGGAGGTTTTTCTCCAACGTGAACTTCAGCTCCCCTCCCCTTTCTAGCTGCAGTCTGGCTACTGGGGCCACTCTGGTTCATGTCTGCTGAGTGCCGGGTTGATCCTCTTCCATGGAATGTGTCCAGCCCCCGTGTACTCCCTCTCCACCAAAGGGGGGACCTGTGGTGACTCCTCATAGGCAGGTCTGTCCTGACCCTGGAGTTGTACAAAGGTGTTGGCACCTGGATGCGAATGATCCCTTCTGAGCTGGACATTGAGGGGAAGTCAAATGCGGTAGACACAGGCTTTGGACAGCTCACTCATTGCTGTCTAGTTTCTAAATGGAACTCTTGAGAAGCCTGGGAATTCTGTGTTTCCATCTGTTGTATCTGGCCTTCCACAGTATAGGCACAACATACTTTATCCTTAGTGGGGTTTTTTTGTTTTTTGTTTTTTTTAGCTAAGAAACCAGTGGCATACATATGAAAATTTCAGTCAAACTTATTTTGCACATTGACCAAAGAAATCATGAAATTAAACCAACTTTAAGTTGGATAGTATTTGCATATAATTTATACATAACCTTAGGCTTTCACCATCTCCAGATGACCCATTAATACCTAAGATGATACAAATATTTAAGTAGTCATTTTACTGTTTGCTGTAGTTTAGGGAATAACGACAAGAAAAAAAATGTTTGTGCACATGTTTAGTGCCTAACTATAGATTTGATGGACAGTTGGCCGAACCTTCGGATGCTGAAGCCCGTGGATACAGGGGGCCATCCATGCTTAGGATACAGGGGCCATCCATGCTTAGGAGGTGATAATAACCTTCAGTTACATTCTTGCCTTGGGCTCCAGAAATGCTTTCTTCTGGGCTTGAATCTGAGGCCAAGCTGGAAACACAAAGCTGGTTCAAGCCGAGGGAATTCCATGGAATGTAATACAGAAGGGTGGGCCGTGTGAAGGCAGCCAGAGAGCTGGCCCAGAGAGAGGCCCAGAGAAGAAGCACCATAACCTGCTTCTTTCCCTTGACCGAGTGCAAGGTGGCCAGCAGGGAAGTCTCCGGTGGCAGATGGGGACACAGAAGACTAGAGCTTTGGAGGTCCAGGTAGAAAATTACCACTCGGGGTAGATAAGAAGAGCTGTAAGAGGGTGCTGGCGTCTATGGTGCTGTCCTCCCTCAGTATCCTATGAATATTGTCAGACTTAGGTGCTTTTCTTGTCTTATATTTGAGTCTTTTTGTTTGTTTGTTTTTTTCGAGACAGGGTTACTCTGTGTAGTCTTGGCTGTCCTGGAACTCAGTCGGTAGACCAGGCTGGCCTCGAACTCAAATCCACCTGCCTCTGCCTCCCAAGTGCTGGGATTAAAGGCGTGTGCCACCACCGCCCAGCTTATATTTGAGTCTTGAACAAATGTTCTTACACAGTATTTGTGAATCACTCCTAATAGCACACTTGTGTTTGTGTCTATTTAGTCAATGCTGGGGAAAACTGCACACTTTGCTCAGGTTTAAAATATGACAATTGGTTCTTGGCGCTCATAAACTGAAGCTTTGTCTTCCTCAAAGGCCTTCATAGACTGTGTTGTGATGGTTCTTGTCTGAGGGTTTTACTGTTGTGAAGAGACACCATGACCAAGGCAACTCTTATACATAAACCATTTCATTGGGGCTGGTTTACAATTTCAGAGCTTTAGTCCATTATCATCATGGTGTGAGCATAGCAGTGTCCAGGCAAACACGGTGCTGGAGGAGGAGCTGAGAGTTTTATATCTTGATCAGAAGGCAGCCTGGTGGAGACTCTCACTCCACGTTGAGCAGAGCCCGAGCACTAAACCACCTCAGACCCTACACAGTGAAACACTTCCTCCCACAAGGCCACACCTATTACAAGGAGACCACACCAAATGGTGCCACTTCCCATGGGCCAAGTATAGTCAAACCACCAGTTATCTAGAGAGTACTTAGGAACAGTAAAAGCGCCATGGACAAACAGATCTGTGTTTCTCTGATGGGACACCTAAGGAATAACAACCAAAGAAAAATAATCTAGTTAAGAGGCTGAGAGATGGCTCAGTGGTTGAGAGCACTGGCTGCTCTTGTCAGAGCTGGATTCTGTTCTCAGCACTCAAATGGTGACACAGAACCATCTATAGTAACTCCAGTTCCAGGGGACCTAATACATTCTTCTGGTTCCCATGGGCACCAGGCATGCATGTGGTTCATAAAGGCGCAGGCCAAACATTAATATACATAAAACAAATAAATCTAAAAATGATAATTATAATAATTATCGTGTTCCAATCCCTGAACTAAGAAGTATTTTAGATAGTGGCCAAATTTCAATTATCTTAATATATTCCCAATCCTTTATTTTTTTTTAAAGATTACTTTGGGAATATATGATGAACTTTAAGTGATCAAGGGAGAGGGGACAGATCACAGAGGCCACCAGGTGTAATCACTCTCTGCTAGCTGAAATCTGAGTGTTCAGAGGCTGGGGCACAACTCAGTGGGAGAGCACATGCTTGAGAAATCGGAAGAGAGAGAAAATAGCATTTTGGTAGTGTTTCTGAAAATCCCTGTGTTTTTAAAATGCTTCTGACCTAGACTTGCTGTCTTGCTTTGGGGACACTCACAAACTCATAGTGAGTATAAATCAGGACACCGTAATAAGATGGTTCTGATTTCTGAGTTGCTTGATTTTTTATTTTATTATTTTATTTTTATTTTATTTTTTCGAGACAAGGTTTCTCTGTATAGCCCTGGCTGTCCTAGAACTCACTCTGTAGTTGATTTTTTTTTAATAATTCTTTTTAAAGATTTATTTTATATCCATGGGATGTTTTATCTGTATGTACATCTTATCTGTACACAAAAAGAAGTCATCTGATCCCATGAAACTACAGTTGTAGATGGTTGTGAGCCACCATGTGGGTGCTGGGAATTGAACTCAGGACCCCTGAAAGAGCAGCCAGTGCTTTTAACCACTGAGCCATCTCACCAGTCCACTTGATTTTTTTTAAGTCGATGCTCACTCTGGATGTATTTGATCCAGCTTATGTCTGCAACTATTCAACACGTTGGCTTGCCCAGAGAAGTCAAGCAATAAGCTAATGCTATTATGTAATAGCATACTGTAGCAGACAGATGGCACCCGGCCTGACCTTAGAGAATGGATCAGAACCAGCACTGTACAGTCAGGTTTTTGTACTGTAGCACTATTCTAGGGAATAGCAAGAAACACGAACAAAATAGTGTAACTAAGCAAGTAGGAAAGCCAGTTAAACCAACTCTGTGCATCTCCATAAGTCATGAGGACAGTACACCACATGCTACTGGGTGACTGATGAGCAGAGTCCTGAGTTAAACCTTTATTCATTTATTTAACATGTGTTTATTAAGTGGCTACCATGCACCAGGACAGCTGGGCCCTGAGTACCTCACAGAAGCAGAACAGACATGCACATGAAATTGACAGAGCTAGAGCTCAGATAGGAGATACGTAAATGTCCACACAGGAGTTTCCATCTGTGGAAGAGGTAGCTTGAGACTGGGAGGAGACACTGCAGTCTCCAACTGAGTCAGCTGTTGGTACCTTTGTCAGCTTTCCCATGGAGACATCAGAGCTCAGCTATTTGGGGGTGTCAGCATTTCTCCCAACAGGTCCACAGTGAGCACCTTGGCTCGGATTGTTCACCTCCAAAATATATCCGTGACTTCGGTGGGGGTTGGGGGGTATGAAGTTGTTGAGACAGGCTCTCAAGAATGACCTTGAATTTCTGATCCTCTTGAGCACCGGGATTAGGAGTGTGTGCCACCACACCTGGCTTGTGCTATGCTGGCTTCTTTCATGCTAGACAAGCAATCTGCCACCTGAGTCACATCCCCAGCGCCTTCTCAAGGATATTGAGGGGATGGATTTCGTTCACCAAGTCAGACCCCATTGCTGTCTTCAGTGAACAAGTTCTCTTGGTTCACTATCAACTTATTTTGTAATTCAGTGTTTTCTTTTTCTTTCTCTCTCCACCCCTCTGCCCCAAACAGGTGCGTTGTTTGCTTGCATAGCTTTCTTAGAAACACTTGGTGGAGTAATTTCGACCTCTGCGTATAATGGGATTTACTCAGCCACTGTTGCCTGGTATCCAGGCTTCATCTTTCTGCTGTCTGCTGGCCTCCTGGTCCTCCCAGCCGTCAGCCTATGGTAGGTAACTCTCTCGTCATTCCATCAAAGGGTGACTGAGTTAAATGAACCGTCTACCTCTACCAGCAAAATGATACAGGCTCTTGACATTTTGCTTCAGAGGATGCTTTTCTCAAGAATTATCGGTCACAAATATACCTGTCAGTAACTTGAGAACTTAAAATGAGACAGTGCCATTGGCTGTTGAGAACTGTGTGTGTGTTTTGGGGTGGTGGTGGCCTTAGGTCACAGACATAGAGGAGTCATTTTATGGGACTCTAAGATTCCACAGTATAAATAACAACTGAGTATCTTGGGGATGTGGGAGAGAGAAAAATCTCAAGGAGTTTATTTTATTAATTTTAGAACACTATACATAACAAATCAGTGAGGTTCAAGATGCCAAGATATACCTGCTACACAGAACTTGTATAATTTATTAAAAGCTATGTATGGGTGGGAAAGACAAAATCTTGGTAACTTATGTATCTCTTAACCCATTCCAAATTCTTGTTTGTTTTTGTAGTGGCATCAAGTGCATTGGCTGGGAAGAGGGAAGCTACACACTGCTCATCCACGAAGAACCCAGTGAGCACACAGCAGACTAGTGACAGTCAGCGGCAATGCACGTCCCTGTGCAGGACTCCTGGAGAATATAAACTCCACAATCAGAATTTCACTAGCAATCCATGTGACAAAACCCTGTCTCCTAAGCCAAGTGAGTTGGGAGGATGCACCCAGCTCTGCTGCTTCTTGAGCCACCCAGCAGCACACTGTGTTCTTCAAAGAACAGGTCTCAGTACTGTCACTTCTCCATGGACCAGAGAAACACAGTGGAGAGCAGAGGAAGGCTCTCGAAACCTTGCTAAAACTTAAAGCAATAACTTCACTGACATGCTCCAGTCTGCCATGTGGAGACCGAGGAGTTCTGACCTCAGCCTCTCCGTCTGCACAATGGGCTTGCTGGCCTCTCAGGGATTTTGAAGACATAAAGAGGAATTTTTATTTGGAATAATCACTGGTATGGAAATAATGTTTCAGGCACTTGTAGTTCTTCCTGTACTTGACTGATGTTTTAGGATCCTGTCAAGGTTGTACTAATGGAATGAAAAATCCTTGAACAAGAAGCACCTTTTAAAATTATGTTTTTCACTTTTCCTAGTATTTTATTCAGTGACAAGCCTGATGGTGTTTTTATATGTAATGAAGGGAGTGGGTAGAAGATCAGATTATAAATAAAATTGTCTTAAATTTTAAAACTGAGTTGACAGCTCAGTGTGGTATAAAGTCACACCTTACAGCCTGTTCTCACTCCCACAGCATGGGCTCTGTCATGGTCTACACCCCCGGCAGGGTTTCTCACCTCTGACCTTTCTTGCCTTCCTCCCTCTCAGGCTCCTCACTGTGCTGAGAAGGATGTTTCTAAGACACAGGTCTTATCTTTTCCAGCAACTGTTGCTCAGTAGGGGAATAATGAGACAAGCATGTGACCTCAGCCTGATCCTGCCCCACCCTGAGTCACAACACCCTACACCCATTCTTAGATCTACCCTCGTCCCCCAAACCCACCTCCTCTCCTTTTTACACTGTTCAACGCATCCCTCCTGTCATGTTTGATTAAAACTGTCTTAGCCAAAAAACCCTGCTTTCCCTGTGTGGCCACGGTTCTTGACATGTATCACGTCAAGTCTCTGCAGGACTTCCATAGCCCTTTGTATAAACAAGAATTCCACCTAGCGTTTTCCAATGTATTTTAAGGAGATTTTTAAGTGTGTGACTGCCCTGTCTCCTAAAGCAAGTGAGCTCTGAGGCAGCTCTACATTATTCCTGCGCCATACCCATGCAGTGCCCACAGAGGCCAGAAGAGGGTGCTACACTTCCTGGAACAGGAGTTAAAGATGGTTGTGAGCCACCACGTGGGGGATGGGAACTGGGCAAGAGCAGCCAGAGATCTAACCACTGAGGCATCTCTCCAGCCCAAGGCTGTATTTGTTTCCCTCCTGGTAGGTCTCCTTGAGGACAGGGACAGTCTTTGCTCATGGCATGCTCAGTAGATGTTTGCAAAACTAAATCTGACAGCTACAATGTTTTTACTTTATTTGCAAGAACTGTGTTCAGAACTCTAATGGTTTGTGAAGTAACCACTTCCCATTGGTTCCTAAGCTAAACTTGCAAACAGACTGAAAGTGTTGGCCCTTGCACCTTTCAAGTTGATTGTCTTGTTTCCATGACACTTTTTCCCTGTGCAGGTGCGTATGTGTTTGTGCCTGTGAAGCCATAAGACAGCTGCAGTTGCTCCTCAGTCACCACCACATGGGTTTTTAAAGAATGGGTCTTTCTCTGTTCTGGGGCCCTCAAGGAACCTGGGCTGGCTGGCCAGTGAGTCAAGGGATCTTCCTGTCTTTACTCCTCAGAACTGGGATTCCAACTCACACCAACCGACACAGCTGGCTTTCTACATGGTGTCTGAGGGACTGGACTCAGGGCTTCTTGTTTGCAAGACAAGCACTTTACCTAGTTGCTCTCCAGCCCCCTTACCAGATTTCTATGTTTTCATATGTAGTGATGCAGATGCCATGACTTTTCTATAATCTGAGAAAACCACTTAAGAGTTTACAGTCCGTTCCCTATAAATGTATCATATTGTTAGTAACCCTGTAAAGTGGGTCTCCAGGTTCCATGTTAACAGGAGAGGAAGGCAGGTCTCAGGGACATGGGCCTTTCTAGAGTATCCGTCTATGCAGATGGACTGGACACTATGCTCAGTGGCAGAGCACTTGCCTACCAGGTGCAAGGCCCTGTATTCGATCCCAACATTGCAAATCAATGGGCAAGCATGTATCCACACCACCTGTCCTCACCTGAAAGGCCTGGTGACTGCCACTGAGACTACACAGGCTGATCTTATACACAGGAGGATCAGTAGACGGTTTCTTGGTTGAGCAGAAACCTACTTGAGTGTACTATTTTGAGAGACTCAACTGCTGGCCCAGTAAGTGTGGCTGTCTCATGTCCTCAAGAAGTTTTTGTCATGGGAGAGAAACATGTTTCCAGGATGACCACACAACACCCAAGTCAAAACGCACAACCACCATGTTTTCTTCTTGCCCTTTACATCCACCTGTCTATACCACTTTACCTCAATGGCTTTGTTACCTGTGGTCAAAGGCCACAAACGTTACTGTCTTGTCTTGAAATCAAGGAGGGTTTTATTACAGGATATTACAGCAATTGCTTCAGTTTATTATCCGCTATTGCTGTTACCTTTGACCTTGCCTAATTTGTAAATTATCACAGGCATTCTGTCTTGAGGAAAAATAAAAAGAACCAGTATGTAAGAGTTAGATATTAGATAATACCCAGTTTCAGACATTCACTAGAGGATCTGGAACAGATAGATTTTCATGGACCAAAGAGCTAATAACAGGGCGGGTTGCCTTGTGGTCAGCGTTCTAAAGAGATGCCTGTATATTAGAATCCAGCAATGCCAGCATGTCGAGGCAGGGGAAGGACAGGAGGGAGAATTCCCCCGGTTTTATGCTCTGGGTATCTGAATTTAGTAGAACCACAATGGGATCTTGCAGTCTTTAGAAACTAACCCAGGGCTGGCAAGATGGTTCCTCAGATAAAGGTGCTTGCCACCAAGACCAACAACCTGAGTTAATCCCTGGGACCCAAATGGTAGGAGAGAACTGACTCCTACAAGCTGTCCTCTGACCTCAACATAGGTGCTATGGTACACACACACACACACACACACACACACACACACACACACTAAATTTTTCAAAAAATTTCCAGAATTTCATACAGCATATTTTAATCAAATTCAACACCCCAAATTCCTCCCTAGACCAGTCGCCAACGTAACCTCCCTACCCAACTTATATTAGGCTTTTGTTTTTAAACGCTTAGGGTCTTGGGAGTTGGGTGTAGTGGTCCTAGCAGGCATCATACCTTTAAAGAAAACAGAATGGCTCTCTCAGCAGCTCCAGAGCTAAGATTTCGCCCCACACCCTACCCACCTCCACACCAGGATCTGGCTTGAGTTCACGCAGGCCTGTGCATGCTGCAGGGTACCTATGTGCAACTGCCTTCTTGTGTCTAAAAACACCATTTCCTTGAAGTTTCCAGAGATAGTCGGCATGAACCCTAGTAAATAAACACAAAAAGGGGAGACACACCCCACCACACAGGGACTAACGAGAAGGCCACAAGCCTGTTTGTTTCTAGAGGCAGTGAACATATGAATGTGGCCAAAGGGAAATGCTATGTGCCACATTCCCACTGTGAGAACCAAGTTCCTGCGGCTCCCCCGTTTTCCATGCTTCTCCCGCATCCTTAGTGTTATGAATTTTAGTCAAATACTAATATTGTGATCAAATTTGGAGTTGCCCTTCCCCAGCCCCTCTAAGGGAGAGGAGTGGTTGTGAGTTAATAATGAGCTACCACGGAAATCCCTCAAGAGGGATGGGTACTCCAGCCTGTAACTCCTGGCTGCTCATCTGTCATTTAGGAGAATCCTTTTAAGCAAATGGGTGTGATACTGGCTGGTTTTGTGTGTCAACGTGACACAAGCTGGAGTTATCACAGAGAAAGGAGCCTCCCTTGAGGAAATGTTTCCATGAGATCCAGCTGTAGGGCATTCTCTCAATTAGTGATCAAGGGTGGGAGGGCCCATTGTGGGTGGTGCCATCCCTGGGCTGGTAGTCTTGGGTTCTATAAGAGAGCAAGCTGAGCAAGCCAGGGAAGCAAGCCAGTAAGTAACATCCCTCCATGGCCTCTGCATCAGCTCCTGCTTCCTGACCTGCTTGAGTTCCAGTTCCGACTTCCTGTGGTGATGAACAGCAATGTGGAAGTGTAAACCCTTTCCTCCCCAGCTTGCTTCTTGGTCATGATGTTTGTGCAGGAATAGAAACCCTAAGACAGGTGTCTCCCCTGGTTCTGAGCTGTGCTTGCAAATCACTGAACCTGAGACAGGCATATGAAAGCATTTGTAACCAGTCTGTAATTGTACAACTCATGACTGCCGTCTGAATCCGGGACAGTGTTGTAGGACAGAGCCCTTGCCTGGCCTTAAGTCCTTGTAGATGAACAGAGTGGAATTAAGGGACAACCTGTCGGTGTCTGCTGGAGAATCATTTGGTGTTGGGAGTACTGAGGGAGGACATGGAGCCCTTTGCCATCAGATCTGGAACCTTCCTGTAAAGGCCTTAACACTGAGACTGAGACCTCGAAAGGAGAACAGGAGCAGGAACCAGGAACCCATGCTCTAACACAGCAGAGTACCTAAGAGGGAGAATCAGGGCATCTGCAGATTTCAAGGAATCCAAATCGTTTCCAGACTCCAAGAAAAGACCATGGACTCCAGGTTAGGAACGCCAGTTCGCTTCTCAGCTTCAGACTGTTCATTAGTAGCTTTCCTGAAACAGGAAGGCTACTATTTTAATATAAATGATGAAGAGACATGACATACGGCTGGAACTCTGGCACTTTGGAGGTTGAGGCAGGAGGACTATGAGTTCAAGGACATTCAAAAATGAAAAACAACTCTTGGGTTGGAGTGACGGCTCAGCAGTTCAGAGCACTGGCTGCTCTTTGAGGACACAGGTTTGATTCCCAGCACCCACGTGGTGGCTCACAACCATCTGTAACTCCAGATCTAGGACATCTGATGCCTCCTTCTGACTTCTGCAGATATCAGGCACGCACATGGTGTACAGACATACATGCAGGCAAACACTCATACACATAAACTCAAACGTTTTTTAAAAATAAAAAACAAGATTCTTTTGTGTCATCTGACCACAGTAATGTCCTATGCACTGTAGAATTTCAGCTGCATTCTGTGTTCCACCCACTGAATGCCAGTAGCAGCCCAGACCAAAAGGTGCCACCCAAAATATCTGCAGACATGGTCAAGTGCTTCAGGTCGGTAACTCAGTTAATAAAGATGTTCCGAAAAAGTTGTTAATCAAAATACTTCAGATCTAGTTAAAAAATAAACAACAACAACAACAAAACAAAAACAAAAACAAAAAAAACCTCGATCCATTTACTAGTATTCTGAAAACCTTAAGGTTTTTGTTTTTGTTTCGGACAGTGTTTCACTGTATACTTCTGGCTGGTCTGGAACTCACTATGTAGACCAAGCTGGCCTCAAAGTCACAAATATCTGCCTGCCTCTGCCTCTCCAGTGCTGCAATTCAAGTGTGCACTACCACACCCAGGAAAAACTTCAGTTTTTATAGACCAGTTCAATA